TAGCTATCCGCCATTGCTGCTCATTACTGGATAGATACGTGCGTTTATTAAATCGTTGATTCGCGATTCGAGGGGTGCAAAGGTGGATTGATCGAGATCGATCGATGAGTCTTGGATCGGTGAGTTTTGTGAAGATTATCGATCTTGGAATTTGGGATAAGTTTTTGGAGAGAGATTCTGATTAGGAGTTGAGTGGAATTTTTTGTATTTGATTTTTAGAAGGGAAATATGATTGAAATATTGGATTGGATTTTTAATTAATGTTGATTCAAACGTTAATAGAAATGATGATGAGCGATTTATCAAATCAAACTTAAGAAGATACATTGGAAGCATTTGAACGATATTGTCAATTCTGAAATAATAAAAGTTTCGAATACAAAAGTTTAACAAAATTGAAATTCCTTGATCCCGAAAGCTATTAAAACAACATTAAAATCTTGTAATTAAAGAAAAAAAGAAGTGATGAAAAATTAACGACGAGTCTTTTTTTTAAAAAAAAAAGTATTATACCACGGGATAATCGAAAATCGTTCGAGAGAATGAATTCGTACATTTTACCGGGGGTAACTCGATATAATACGCGTAATGGAAATTTATCGCGCAGTTTCGACGTTTCAGCGTTACAAATGGACAATTTTTCGCCTAATATCCCATTCGTTTCTCACGATACGAACATTATAACAAACTATGTAATAAAAAGAGAGAAAGGGAAAATGATTTATCGGGAAAACAATCCGGGTCTATATCGTTAAGATACTATTGTTCGTCCCGGCTATACTATGGACAGGATATATCGACATAATAAGCACACTCGGATCACCTTTACCACCTGAGCCCCTATTACCATTCTGAAAGGAATTGCCCCGGCCAGCACTTATTCTCTGCCCCATATGCTATGCACCACGTGCGTGGAGTAACTGGGAACAGCCCCTTGCACGATGCTTAATGCCATTACGTGCAAGCCAGCACAGTCGAATCGTGCCATTTTCAAACCTGAAATTCAATAACACTCGATCCTTCCTCTTCAATTTCTTCAAAATCTCAACGCCTTCCCCTTTATTCCTCCAATTTCTACAAAAACGAGCCAATTCGTAGAATCCACAATAACGCCTCCTATCGATAATTAATCCTCCTTATTATCCTCCATCTCTTCCCCCCTCATATATTCCTTCTATGAAAAGAAATTTATGCAAAGAAATGAAAACGATTCAATCCTTCCAAACGCGTCCTATCAATAATTAATCCTCCTTGTTATCCTCCATCTCTTCCCCCCTCATATATTCCTTCTATGAAAAGAAATTTATACAAAGATCTGAAAACGATTCAATCCTTCCAAAGTGTCTATTCCTACTAATTTCTACTAATTTCTATCCCTTCTTCTCGAGAAGAAATTTCAAACGGATGAAATTCAAATTCATTTCACCGAATCGATCAACCGCCCAATCTTAATCGCTCCAATCCCACCACTCGTTTCGAACCCTCTCGCTTGTTTCCTCTTGTATCGTATCGAGGAGAAGTTTGCAACGGATGGGCGAGGGGAGGGAGGAAACGGTGCACGCGACACGGAAGGATCCTTCGGGACAAAGGATGGAATCCCATATTCATAGGGTCTAAGGTGGGCGGTAGGTAGGTTTTCTTGAACGGCGACTACGAACAATGACGACGTGTCTGAACGCATTGTTGCGTCGCGAACCAATGTCCCGCGAGGACTGATAAAAGTAATGCACCAGAATGCGGCAGAATGCACCGACCGTGCCACCCTCAATTCCTTGCCCATTGTTGCATCTGCATAACGATAGTCGTCTGCCGGCAGTGCTTCATTGTGCCGAGGTGCAACGGGGAAGAAGCTGCCGCTCGCGAAAACCGATTCTTCCCTCTCACTGGGTTAAACGCGTAAACTGAGCGTATATCGACGGAGTATTCTCAAACTATCGCTACGTTAACCCCTTTTTAATTTATCGTAATCGTTTCTTTATCTCCAATACACGTTTATGTGTTATTAAATAAAATAAATCTATCATTTTTTAAAAATCTTTCGTCGTATTCAATCGTTTCGACGAGTAACGTTGAATCATTTTAAAATGGTAAAAATGAAATCGTATTCGTTTCGATTGTGCAACGTTGAATCATTTTAAAATGGTAAAATATAATTTTGAACGTTTGTCTTCGTCCTCAAGATGATTAGAAAGTAATAAATTGCTTCGATATCACCTACTCACCCTCCGAGTGGTGGCTGAAAGCTCTCTGCAGCTCCTCTTCCTCCTCCTCCTCCTCCTCGTCCTCTGTGATAAATTAGGAATTACGATAATTTATATAAAAAGAGAAAAGAATTAATTGGAATTATAATATCGTTTTAACTATCTAGATTTAACGTAAACTCGTTCAACGACGAGAAAGTATTTAGCAACACTCACGCTTAATTCCCGTTGCCTCATTATCCTGCTCGGTTACCTCCAGGACATTCTGCTCGTTCCCGTCGTCCCACTCTTCGTCTCCTGCGGAGAGACAAGCAACCATTAATTCCGTTTCATTTGCATATCAGCCTCGAAGAATAAAATCTGTATTTGCGTGAAGGGGGGAAAAAGGAAAGAGAGGGAAGGGAAAAGAAACGGGAACGAGCAACGAAATTGTAATTCTTCTCCCTTTTCACGTGCACGTGAACATTGCATTCCGTAGGATACGCGTATATGAATATGTGTACGAATATGAATTCCAAGTAACAGCGGCGAGAAACGATTAATAATACGATTTTTTGCGGACGAGTCCGCAACGACGAATGAACAAGATTTTCGAATAAAGTTTTGCCTTTAACGAACTCCGTTTCATTCGTATCCTGTGTAAAAATGTTTTTAAAAATGCCTGTGAATGAATTTGTCGCGTGAGACTGATTACAAAACGGGAATCTTTTTAACAAATATTCGTTTATTTTTAATTTTTAATTTTTCGTTTATCGTATCGAAAATATAATTTTCCTTCCTTCTGAAAATAATCAATGAAAATTCAATTTGTAATTTTCGTAGATAAAATTTATCTCTAGAATTATATATATTCATAGATCCATAAGTTTGCACACGAGGTAAACTACGGAGGTAAAATAACCGAGGAGCAACTAAACAAATATTTAACTCTTTCGCCACGGAAGCAGTCCGTACTACTACGGATTAATTAATCCCTCAAAATGCTTCCACGTGTTGTAAACTTTCAAATCGTTCCTCGTATTAACGTATTAATCCTTATCCACCCTCTCATTCATTTAATTTCTCGCATCACAAACCATTCCAAATCTTTCTATCAATAATCCTCAAAAAATCTATCCGTCCTCTCGTAAACCTCCACAAATATTCAAGTAAAAACAGAGATCGATCAATTTCAAAAAAAGAGAGAGAGACGAAAAGATGGAGAGAAAAAAAAAAAAACAAATTCGCATTCGACACCTTGGAAAATAGTGGCAATCGGTCGGAATGGCGAAGTTTATCCCGTGAAAATCCTGTCCTGTTGAGGGGGGTGAGGGAGAGAGACAGAGAGAGAGAAAGAGGAGGGTCGAACGGATGAAAGAGGGAGAAAATGGATGCAAAATAACAAACGACCTGTTGGCCACGTGGACAGGGGTGTAATTTTTTAAGTTTAATTTTGTGGTCCCACGTGACAAACGGATGGCACGCTATACGGGATCCACGTCAGTACGGTCCGTGGGTATATTTCATGTTGAAAACACGGCTCGTCGTTACGTGTTTGATGATATACAGGCCGACCACCAGGCCGTTCTCCTCGCACAACTCGCTGATCTGCCCTGTTACGCTATACCGATCCAATTTACGATCGATCCGTTCCGCGCGATATTTCTAAATGAGAGCGTACATTCGTCGTTACATTTTTGTTAATACGTTAAAACGTTCCCTTCTTCTTCTCTTTCCAGGAGAATTGCGAATTTCTTTGTTGAATAATCCATTTAAGAAGGTCGCTTTAAACTTTCCTCGCTTCGACAACGATTAAGTTATTTAGAAAGATCTACATCTTTAAAATATTTCGTAGTTTAGTCAAAATTCCTTTTCAAAGTTACCCTTCCCTCCTCCTGTTCTCTATAAAATAAAATGGTTACGACATAGACGAACGAAGAAGAGCGTAAAAACGCAAGAAGAGAGGAGAGAGAGGAGAGAGGTCTCCCTTTTTTTTTTTTAATATGATAATCGAGAAACTTTGATGAAGCCTTCGAACCGAGGAAAGAAAGCTCCTACGTCCATCGACTTTATTGGAAAGAGGGAGGAGGAAGGAACATCCTCTCCGTCCTCTATGGATGGAGCATTAGCCTGGAGAGACGTGAAACAAGGAGCGCGAGGGATGGTAGATACGGTCTTAAATATTCTACAAGACATCAAGCCAAGGCAGCGCCACGCCAACCGCCCTTGGATTGAACCTTTGCACCCTCCACCCTGTCAGCTGTCAAGCAGCCTCCGTCGAGCAACGGCTCTCGCGCCTCGTGCCGCGTACCGCGAGTTTAATGCTTCATCCATCATCGGCAACTCGAGCTCGCGTCGACTTTTCCATCGATTCCCACCCTTCTTCCCTCCGCCTAATTGTTCCACCCCCTCCACTCCCTTATTCTCTCGCGTTCAAGCGATTATTCAACTGTTGCTCCTTCTTATTCAACTGTTCTTCTTAACGGATCCTTAGCTTCGCCGACTTCTTTATCGATCGACTCGAATCAAACTCGCCTGAACGAGTTTAATTTTCTATCGATTGTCAAGAATAAATTACAAGATGCGTTTTAAAATAATTAAAAATTCATTCGTTTCCTCGTTTGAACAATCTTAAGATTGATAAGACTATCGAAAAATAGTCGTTCGTAGATTTCTCGATAAAAATTCCAAAGATATTTCAAAAAAAAAAATCCGATAAAATCCAATCATCGTAAACGGAAATATACAAGAAACGTGGAGGCCAAAGTTTTACGCCCGTCCACGTACACGTATCCGTACCAACGTTATCGAAAGCGCAACGCGTTGCGGAGTTAAGCCGCAATATGCAGTTATCCCGATACGAGGCGGCTACGTGGGCTCATAATAATACATCCGTTTAACGTTGGCCAGAGAGGACAACGCAGGAGGTAGGAGGAAGGGTATTTTCGAGGGATTACGTCGTTTCCTTTTCTCCCTGAAACGGGAGAGCCTTGGTCCGCAACGCGGGATATCAATGATACGAAACCATCTTTTCCTCGTAACGTTAAACGTTTCTGGAGGAGGATGCACGCGGTGGAGCAATGGCCAATCCTTTTACCTTTACGATTATCGTCACCTCGAATAATTGTCCAATTGTTGTTTACGATGTTTACGACGGCGAATTCGTAGGAGAGGCGCGTACGAAGAAGGAGGCGAGGCGTTTTGGTATTCCGCGCGTTCATCCAACGACGAAGATGGTAACCCTATGGGCCGGGAAATTGCAGCTTCCGTTTAAGCCGTTGGCTTAGGCGGGCTTAATTCGTTGGGCTGGGCTCCGAGAACAGATATTGGTTCGTGGCCTCGGTTTGGGTTCGGTAATTGGGAATTTGTGGCAATTGTCCTTTGTGCTTATTGTATCTGACTATAAAGAGTGCATGATTGGGACATTTTAACTTTTCGAAAGGGTTTTAAGAAGAGTAGAATCGGTTCAAATTGTTGTCCTCTTTCGAGATTGAAAAGTTTGGAAATAGATGAAAATTGTCAATTTAAAAAAAAAGGATTAAAACTATGTGCTTTGTGCTTATTGTATCTTATGAAGAATATATGATTGGGATATTTTAGTTTTTGAAAGAATAGAATAAGTGAATGGATTAAAAGTTGGAATTGTTGTCTTCTTTCGAGATTGAAAAATTTGGAAATAGATAAAAATTGTCAATTTAAAAAAAAAGAACTAAAACTATGTGCTTTGTGTGCTTATTGTATTTTATGAAAAAGATATGATTGGGATATTTTAATTCTTGAAAGAATAGAATAAGTGAATGGATTAAAAGTTGGAATTGTTGTCTTCTTTCGAAAAAGTTTGGAAATAGATGAAAATTGTCAATTTAAAAAAAAAGATATTTTAATTCTTGAAAAAGTAGAATAAGTAAATGGATTAAAAGTTGGAATTGTTGTCCTCTTTCGAGATTGAAAAATTTGGAAATAGATGAAAATTGTCAATTTAAAAAAAAAGATATTTTAATTCTTGAAAAAGTAGAATAAGTAAATGGATTAAAAGTTGGAATTGTTGTCCTCTTTCGAGATTGAAAAATTTGGAAATAGATAAAAATTTAAAAAAAAAGGACTAAAACTATGTGCTTTGTGTGCTTATTGTATCTTATGAAAAAGATATGATTGGGATATTTTAATTCTTGAAAGAATAGAATAAGTAAATGGATTAAAAGTTGGAATTGTTGTCCTCTTTCGAGATTGAAAAATTTGGANGAAAATTGTCAATTTAAAAAAAAGGGATTAAAACTATATGCTTATTGTATCTATAAAGAGTGTATCTAAGAGTGTACGATTTGGACATTTTAATTTTTCAAAGGGTTTTTAGAAGAGTAGAATCGAAAATTGAAATTGTTTTCTTTTGTCGAGATTGAAAAGTTTGGAAATAGATAAAAATTAAAAGTTAAAAAAGAAACTATGTGCAGTTAAAACAATGTGAAATTATTTTCGAGAGAACGGATAAAAGAGACGTCTAAAGTTGAAGTAAATTTTGTATTCATTCGATGCAGCGAAAGTATACTCAGTAGTATGAGAAATTGTGTTCGAATTAATATTAAAGAAACGTATTATTATAAGCCAATCTATATGCACGAAGATGATAACCGCATATTGAGACCTCCAAAACCTCCTACATGAAGACCCACGCGTAAAAATGTTTTAGAGCGCGATATAATATGCAAAATTTTTCTATTCTATCTTTTTCTATCCCAAATTGTAAATTCTAAACCACATTATCCAATTATTACGAAAAATTTTCCTTTTTCGCGCAAACTTTCGAGTCCTAAAGCAATTAAACATCATATTTCTAACTGCACGAATCCATCAACGTCCAAACCAATTTGTCACTTAATACTTTCAAACTATAATTCTATTCCCCTTTCGTTCTACCCTTATTTATATAGTAATCCCAACGATATACCGAGATCGTTATTATTAAACCGGTCGTGCGCCAAAGTTTACATTCACGTTTTTGAACCGTTTAAACGAATGAATTGACGGAAATCCGAGAGGATAGGATCTGAAATTTCGGTCAGGGCCAAATGACCAAACCGCATTTGCTCGTGATTCAACAGTTTCTACAACCTCGTTCCTATTACTCCTCTCTTCTTATAGCTTTAACTACTCAAACCACTCCCTCGATCTGTAAAATTATCAGACTATCTTAATACAATTCTCTCCTTCTTCTCTTCTTCTTTCCAAATCTTTCTAAACCCTCCTCTTTCGTCTCTTGTAAAAAAATAAATAATTCGATCAACAACGTGCACATACGATGATCTACTCAGAAACCAGAT